GCAGGGTCGTGGGCGGATGTTACCTGGCCAAGGGCAGTTCCAGGCGTTGCCTCCTCCACATCCGCATCCGCATGACTGGGATAGGGATAGGGATAGGGATAGGGAACATACGCAAAGTCAGAGAGTGGACAGGGAGCGTGTAGATCTGAGGCTTCCTGGTCCTGAGAGAGAGAGGCACCGGGACAGAGATAGGGATAGGGAGCAGAGAGAACGCTTGCCTACTGACCAACGGTTGAGCGAACGTCCGGGTCCGGGGGAGATCCTACAGTTGAGAGATCCAGCGCTTTTGGTGAGGGATCGAGAGAGCAGTAGTGTCGGTGTCAGTGGTGGGGGGAGGGAGCAGCGGGGTGAATTTGTGAGAGAACGGGAGCAGAGAGAGCGGGAGAGAGTGGGGGAGAGAGAACACGAGCAGAAGGTGTTGTCGGATCGAGAGAGGGAGCTTAGGGCCCTTGAACAGCCTGATCGACGAGTTGGACGTCGTACGCATTCACATTCGCAGGCTCCGACTCAGGTACACTCGCGGATACCGTCTCCCATGGTAGAGGAGAGGGAGAGAGCGATGCTGGAACGCGAACGCGAGCGTGAGCACTTTGAGCGTGAGAGGATGGAGAGAGAGAGATTGGAGAGGGAGCACCTTGAGCGCGAGTACATGGAACGAGAGCGTGAGCGGGGGATGAATATGAGTATCGCCGAGCGGGAAAGGATGGAGCGCGAACATCTCGAACGTATGGAACGACAGCAGCATATCGACGCCCTCGAGCGTGAGCGCTTTGACGCTCGTGAACGCGAACACGACCTCATTTCGCGCGAACACATCGAAGCTCGTGAACGGGCGGAGCGCTTGAGCATTGAGGCAATTGAGCGTGAACGCGCTGAACGTGAAGCCTTCGAGCGTCTTCCCACCCCGCAGGAGCTTGCCCTACTTCTGCAATCCCGCATGGAGCGTCCGCATATCAGCCTTGGTTCATGGGTGCTCCCTGCATTGCCGTTCCCCTGGTTTTTTGGAGACCACATGCCCTGCATGAAGCAAGGAGATGCACCGGAGATCGGAAAAGATGGTTTGGTTGTCCCTCCAGAAGTACGCCTCGCCGTCCTCATTCCGTCCTCATTCCTCCCTGCCTCCAGGCCACACAAGCTGCGATTATGGGGTGGAGGATTATTGCCCCCTCCGCCAATACAGTTCTGGCCGGTACATACGAACTTGGGCAACACAGCAGGAAACGGTTCGGGCCCATCTGGATCGAGTGCTACGCCTAACTCCTCAGGATCTGTCGTAAGGACCGCACCAAACCCTGCACCACCCACTTACCATCCAATGCACGCTCCCCGCCGACGCGTCTACACCGACGACTCAAACGTTCTCGCATGTGCCGTGCACGCTGGTCTTCTAACATGGAGTGCCGTCTCCCGCGCAAAAAAAGAAGGCAAAGACATCAAAATCGTGCTTGGAGTCGTGCCCACCGTATCAAGTTATGGAGGTAGCGTCGGGGGCGATGCAAACAACGTAGATCCTCCTGTAGTTGCAGGTATTGGACCAGCAAATGGCACGTCCTCGAACGGCATTACACCCGCTGTATCAGTATCAAACGGGATTACGCCTAGCACCTCACAATCTTCCGCTTCGCAGCCTACCGTATCGTCTCATGGTTCTGTGAGCAATGATATTCGTGGTATTGCTGGAGCTACGGCGCTTGACGGGATGGGTTATGCAGGTGGTGTCTGGGCAAGTCGGTTCGTGGGTGGATGGGGGGAGGCGTTTTATGGGCATCCGAGTGCGGGGTATTGTGCTGCGAGTGTGAATGATGCTACGAGCGGGGATGCGAGACAGAGGAGCTTTGAAGAGGAAGCGGAGGATGATGGGAGGGGGGTCGTTAGTGCTGGTTGGGGGTGGGGGCATGATGGGAGTGCGATTGAGGTTGTGCATGTTGAGGTCGTTGAGGTGGGTGTTTTTTTTCCCCTTCCCTCTCGTCTTTCTCTTTCGTACTATCTATTTCTGGTACTGATTAGGATTATCTTACAGAAGGGCTCTGCGCGCGGTCCTGGGCTTGGGCGACGCAACAGGTCACAACGACTGCAAGAATATGCGTCGCGTCGTGCGGCTTTGGCCCTTGCTCCCCCAACGTCGGTCTCGCCACCACCATGCCCACACTTGTTCGCTGACGTCACAAACGGCCGCAAGCGACGCTGGTTTACTCTCGACAATATCGACGTGAATGGGAAAACAAAAGTCGACCCCGAGAATCTAGAAGAGCTCCAGAAAATACACGCGCGGACGCTGGTGTTTGGTGACTTGGGGACGGGTGCTGGGTGAGTTTCATTCTGTTTCATTTCGTTTTTTTGTGTACAGAGCGAGTGCTGATTGGATGTGTCTTTTAGATTTAAATACACTCCGATTCTCCTTGCGTGTGCGCTCTTCCCACATCTAGCAGATCCTGCTGTACGTGTATCTTTGCCTCGAAAGCGGCGGAAGATCCTGCATGCGCAGGACCCACCTGCAGAGGTAGGGGACGTGCGAATGGACATAGACGGTGTCGGGGAAGATACTGGAGACGAAGGACGTGCGGTGGTTCTCGAGAGTGAGAGCGAGACGTACCTTGTTGCTCCTGGGCCTAGCCCAAGTGAAGGATTCGTGCTATCTATCCTTCTGGCCACACCTACAAACGGGAAGATTGTGGACGTTGTTGAGGAACCTGCGAACGATAAGAACACAGTAACAACAGTTTCTGCGCCCAAGATAACACCTACCGCTTCGAGTGCTGGTGAAAACCCGACCACTACTTCCGATGTGCCAAAAGATGACCAAAAAACACCAGTCCCAGTCCCAGATCCACCTCTACCTCAGCCTATATCTACTTCTCCGCCTTCAGAAAAGACGGTACCTCAGAGTAGTCGTACGCAGGTCGTCCGAAGCAACCTCCAGGATACGGATTTCAAGTTTGAGCAGGATGGCGTTGTTGTGTGTGGGCAGGGTGAGGATATGAGGGTGAGAGTGGTGCGGTGGAGATGGTATTTATAATAATACTTTGGATTTTTTTGCACTTATTATTAGGCTTGGAATTAATATTGTTTTGGCGCTGCTCTGAGGTGGGCTGATTCCGAAGTTGCCAATTCATGGTGGTACTAATCCGATTCACTTGCTCATAACTTGACTTTGCGATCTTCACGTATCTGCACACGGGAGCGGTTGTTTATGCAATTAGGTCGAACACATCAGATTTGTTGATGTGTCCTATGGTCAGGGAGGGGATTGATCCGATTGGTGGCCCACGCTGACTGGTCACGAACGAAGGTCCACTCTCGATCAGGTGAAATCTGCTCTGCTTCTCCGTTGTCCCATGAACCTATCAATAGAGACTGAGCGCCTTCGCCCAAGTTAAGCTTGGCATCACTTCATCAGTTATATATCAATCCCGTTGTACAGTCCGCCACCCTGCAGTATGACACAAGGCGCCACTAAAATGCCCTTAAAAGGTCGTCCGTAAAATGGGGGATAAGTGCACCTCATTCAGTGCTTTCTTTCATATCCTCATCTTCGATGGGATTATGTGGTTTGTTATACGTTCTTCGTATATATAGCGCCGCATTGCAGTTCTCACCACGATTCGGACTGAACGACTCACCTGTCAATACATGCCGTTTCGAACCGCCTGCTACCCGTGCATATCTGCATTAGAAGCTCATAGGGCACTACATCAACGAGTGTAAGTGCGTCAACGTCCTGGTCGAGGACAGCCGCTGGCGACTGTAATGGTGGGCGAAGAGTTGACACTTCTGTCTCCACAGTATCCGTCAATCGCGCAATGAGCGGAACGAGAAGCTCGTTCTCAAGGAAATTGGCTGGCAAACTCGAACGCACGCACGGTGCGGAGCATACTCCTTGACAGAAAAGTCAAAGAGCCTGTCTTCATCACATTGATCAATAGAACTTCAATGCATCGGCAAAAACTTCGGAACGGCCGGCTAGTACATACCTCAACCTGGTAGCATTCATGCACCTACTTACCATGCAGAGGCCTGCGACGGGTTTGTACATACAGGTCGGATAATATCGACCACTTCAAGCTGAACTACGCTGGGAAAGTTAGAATTCGACTCTTCGTACTATATACCTTGTAACTCTCACCCCCAACTTATGCATTCCCGACAGAGAAACAAGAGGCATACCCCCACGATCCTCGTTGAGTTGGGCGGACATTTGTCACAAACCTTCGTATTGCTGAAGTGATGGTATCGATGGAACAGAAGTACTATCACCCCTCTCCCGGGAGGAAACATCCTGTGAACTCAAGTCTGCATGTCTGGTTAGGTACAGATTCAATTACACTGCGGCTCCGAGTGAACTGTCGGTGTGACGTGGAACGGGGCAAGCCATCTTTCCTAGAATCCATTAATAACACAGTAGCGCTCGATGAGAGCGGTTGGATTTGTACCCGGAAAACTCCAATCGATGTTCTTGTTCTCGGGATCGTTGGCGCGGAGAATATATTTGATGGTAGCTGTTATGAAGATTATCGTCAAGGGAGAGCCCCTCGAATTCAATTTCATTTTCATGTCTATACCACAAGTCTCTCGTGCGAGATTCCTGGCGTGCCCATTTTCTTCGGTTTTGACTCTTGAGCACGCAGGGTAAGCCTGACGAAAAGGACCATGAACCTAAGTGCAGTCTTCGCGTCAGGTCGATTATGTGGGAGGAGCCTCGCTTTTTGACCATGGAACTTTGGGTTCGAAGAGAAGGAGAGAATGTTGGTGCTGAGATCTTCCTTTGAACTTTGGCAACGTTTGGATGGCGCGCTTTGAGTAGCACCGTAGCGTACTCAATCTGCTGAAATCAGCGACAACTATAAGCTCAAACCTCTGAATACCCGTGCTGATTCCACTACCGCCTGGGTCCTGGGAGATATGGAACAAACAGCGAAAGATGTATGTGAACCAAAAAAGGGGGCCAAGAGACAGATGTATTTTACATAAGATCATTTGCAACAACTTGAAGAAGGAAGGAAGACATAGTGACAGTGAACAGTGAAGCCATTCGAAACGAAATAAATATCTACTGGACTGAAGGGCCATCATAAGGACGGAGAAAAAAGCGCCGGCTTAACCCAGTCCACATTCGGAACGCGCGATTTCTCCCAGGAAGGTTGGCGAAACCAGATCTCTGCTGCGTTGGTCTCTCGACCACATCGTAAGTCTGGCAGCGAAGATGGAAATTCTTTGCGCTCAAGCGCTGCAATTCGTTTTTAGCATGATATTCGCATACAAATCAGATTTAACTCACCGCGAGAGTATGCGTCGGTGAACTCTGACGTGCCGGGTGTGAACACAAACGATCTATGATGTACGACTTCAGCGAACCCAAATCGCGATGACGGGACGGGTTGCAGCAGCTACCGCGGTGAAGATGAGTGACGGTGTCAGAAAACAAACAAGACAAAAGCTTACCCCAGAGATTAAATCTTCGAGATCTTCACGCAATTCTTCAAAGGCAGGGAACCGTTTGGATGCTCTGTCGCGGCTGGAGCACCAAGAAACATAGGAAAATACGTCGTCCTTTGTAACAAAGAGTGACTGACGAGATGATATCAGTAAGATAGCAGCGAAGTAAGACTCGAAACGTGCCTCGTGCTTCTTCGAAACGAGCTGGTAGATGACGCAGCCTAACGACCACCAGTCTGCGGGTGCTCCATACTTCAAAGGACGGGGGTCGGATTTGTTGCGCAGGACCTCCGGTGCCATGGTGTGTGTTGTTCCCACCGGTTCCGAAGAATAATTCCCCTGTCGGTCCAAGGGTCCTTCGTCTTTGTTTACATAACTCACGCCAAAGTCGGTGATGCGCACGTTCTGCCGAGCGTCGATCAGGATGTTTGCGGCTTTGATGTCCCGGTGGATGATCCCTATCTCGTGCAGAGCGTTAATCCCAAGGGTCTTCGAAGTAGGAAAAGGCGTGAGACATGACATGTCGAAGATCACGAAAGACGACCGCTTACCATTTGAGCAGCCCACCTGCGAGCATTGCGGACGCAGTACGTAGGATAATGTTTCAGATAATAATACAGGTCGCTCGCCATCAGGTCCTAGAGACGTCCGATGGAGTCAGATGACTGAAATGGGTCGCAGGGGAGGAAGACGCACCATTACCAAACATATCTTATCCTTTGTCTGAAACGACATTTCAAGCCCCATGAGGAAATCAGCCGCGGGACACGGCAATGCGCATGAAAGACGCTTGTAGGCTTCAAGTTCGTTCAGAAGAACATTTTTCCTGGATTTGCGCTCAAGATGCTCCTTTGGAAAGACCTTGAGACACAACAGGCGATTCGATGCTACGTCTTCAGCTCCCATCGCCACGCCGTACGCGCCCTCGCCCAATGTGCCCCAAACACGAAAGGGGCCATACGTGCATGACACCGGTGTAGTTCGGACCACCTCTGCTGGGCCGGTGTGCGTGAAGGTAAATACGTGAGCAGGTGTTGGAGGGTCGGCTGGAGGGTCGGCCGGCTCCGAGGCAGAAGGGTATTGAAGATCGGGGAGCTCTGAGCGAGGATTCGCGATGCCAGCATCGACTACGGTAGACATTATGACGGGGGCGTTGGATGCAGCGATCGACTTTTGAGCGACCATGCCTGACAGATAAGAATGAGGAGAAGGATATGGAAATGCCAAGGAGCAATTCGACGAGCGTATTTAAGAGCTCCTTGGTAGGACCACAACGCGCTTTAAACAATGAGTTGTGGAGCGTCGATTTGTGAATTGTGTGAAAACACCCACAGGGTAATCATGGCGACTAGCCACTGTCGATCACGACGGGGGAGATTGTGGAGATGTGCGCTGTGAAACAATCAAAACACGTTGCGACCACAGTTGAGCAGCGAGCGTCGGCGCACATTGTTGCCAGCTGCCGAGTGGTCGATAACACGCACGATATCAAAGCAATGCGATGCCGCAAAAATGTGCATGTTCAAGTTTAGAATGCGAGCAGTCTTAGCACCGAACATTCTATTCAAGCGCTAACCGCTGCAAGGCATGCTGTTACAGGTGCTTTACTTCTTCTGAACATTTATTTATCAGCGTTGTACGATAGACCACGAATGGGTATCTTCAGAAGATTCTGTACATTATTCTTCGTATACTTATCTCATGAATGCCAAGTTGATGTCCCTAGCCGTGGAGTCGGTTGCTCAAGATAGTCTCCGCGGCAACGGTATTGACATTTACAAAGTATAAATGTATGTTAGCAGACAGATTGGAGTGATGCATGAACTACACCTTTGGATGACAGCATGACAGAGTCATGAAATGAAATGACAGCGTTTGAAGGTAATAACAGGGTTGATGATTCAGATTCAAACTTTACATGTTCAACGGGCTTGTGCGGACGTGTCGATCACGGCGTGATCCCATGGAGGTCGCGATTGCGAGTAGGAAAGTAACCGAGTCGGTGAGTTATATTTTGGTTTCGGCTTGATACATAACAAGGTTGATAACGGGAAAATACATGTAGAGCAGTAGGTTCTTGGACTAATATTAGCATATACTGTGACACGCGAAAAAAAATACGAAAGGTACTGACACAACACAACAGACGCCCCGTCACGGTTCACCTGCAAGCTCTCGATCTGAAATCACAAGTGATGTGGGAGGTGGTCGAGATGCAGCACGAGCGACGAACCAGAAGCTGTAACGATAAAGGCAAGCAAGCAAAGAGCACGATGATCCCAATGAGGTTGCAGCTGACCCGGGCCGGCAAAAACCGCGAAACCTTTTTAACTCTTCTACTAGGTACGGGAAACATGACTCTCCACTATGATAGTATGATTCTAGGCAAATGTGTACTGATAAACATCACAAACTATCTGGCAATAAGCTTATACGATAACTCTCGAATAAATTCAGAATGATCAACGGGAACGAATACCTATCATGTGACTCAATGTTGTCTGCACAGAGTCACCTGCGGCTTAATGCAATATACGAGGCATGCTTGTCTCTGATTGCTACACCACTCCGAGATGTAAATGCGATGCCCTCCACTCATGTTGACGGTAATACACTGCTGAGTACCACACAGCCATCACCGAACCCAAGTAGTTGCGTTATCATCATACAGAACAACCACATTGTGGAGGGGGGGGAACCATGAACATACTTTTAAGTAACTGCAACGGTTACAGTGAGTTTTTTGCATGTCTGACTTACTAAATACTCATCTTGTAAATAAGCCGTGAGCAAGTCCGAACATGACATGTCGGACTGACTGCAGAGCCCACATCCTTGGACCTCCGTTGGTGAGTCAGCCAGAGCCAACGGAGCACGGTCGTGAAAGCATAGTGTTGAGTGGGAACACGTTCGGCGAGTGCGTCATGATAGATGTAGGATCGCCGAATTGCATGGGAGCTGGTAGGTCGTCGAGTTCATCCAAAAGAAATTTGGTTGAAGAATGATTGCATCAGTTAAACAAACGGCTCTTGCGTCCTGACATGACCGTAACAGTTAGGGGAAGAAGTTCACTGGTCTTGTAATAAAATCACATGTATGCACAAGTATTATGCAAAGATGCAGTTTCGTTGACTTTTTTAAAAAAAACTGGGACAAGCTATATGCGCCCGTCCATGGTCGTTTCGGCATCTGCCTCCCCAAAGGTAATAATGAGCTCACGATGGAGAAATAAATATCCACGGCAAAAGCGACAATATCAGACAGACTGGTCACAAGTCTAGGTTAGATGACAGCATTAAGAAATAAATTGGACTTGCTGATATTGCAATACCATCGAACGCGCTGCGTGAACTGAGTCATACTCCTCGCCCTGGGCTGGAGCACACATATCCCAGTCTCTCCTCTCTCTAGCAACACAGGCACCAGCGAGATCTTTCATAACATAAAAGTCCAATCCGAAGAAACTGTTACCAAAATCCTATCACCAACTAAGAACGATCTGTTCTTGAAGTCCAAAACCGAAGTTGCACGCCTCTGGGAAGTCGAATCCAGGCTCGATCACCTTGAGATCACATTCAATAATCTCCTCGACGCATGGAGAGTGACATGGATATCTTCTCGTTACAAAAGATACTGAATATACCAGACGTGTGTTTTAACTTTTCGAGGTGGCAATCTTTGGATTAGTCTATTGATTTGCTTGTTTGGGTTTGTTTGTTTTTGCTAATCGACACAGGTAGGTTGACCGGTACCCCTTTCGTACGGGCAGCGGTCATTTACGCCGTGCTAATTTCGTCTTTCCTCATGTCAAATGACAAAACCGGATCTGTCAAACATGTCCTAAATTTAACTGGTAATTTCTGCATATCCCTTGGCGCCGTGGTACTGCCGTGGTCCGTTTGGATTGGAACGGAGTTTGATAATGAAACATAATGCCACATTTTGACTGCCTTGAGAATGCATACAGTCTGTCACGCATCTGAATCGTCAGTTGTGAATGAGCGGGCACCAAGGAGCATCATTGATTTATTACAAGCAACGACTCTAGACTGTGATATGTAGAGTGAGTATCGAGTAAGTACATAACAACGCCCAACATGGGGCCGTGAACGACAGCGCAGGACTAAAATCAGATGCAAAATAATACAATGTCCAACATAGGGTCATGAACGACCGCACAGGACTTAACTAAGTAACAACTCGAAAGGGTTTCTCTGCTTCGCGCAAATGTCATACTTGGTTTGAGACCTTAGGAAGAGCAGTTTGCTTGACTGGTCAGTGGTAAAGGATTGTTAAGCTCTTGGATTTTTGGTCAGAAGTAAAGGACCCACTAGCTCCTGTGCAATGATGGGATGCTATGTTTATCATGACGTACTGGCCAAAAGTGTTGCCGTTGAATATGACACTTTCGCGACCGTATTCCACTAGTGGTACTAATTGTCTTGCTAATGGAGGCTGCGAGGACATAGGCTCAGTAGTTCTAGCAATGCCAGCGACGTAGTCCAGCTTGGTTACAGCTTGTTTGAAAGATGAGCATAAATGGTAAGTTATATGTATGAAGAACTCACTGGAACCGTCGCAGTTACTCGAGGATATGTTGATGGTTACACCCTCTGCGATAAGGTTGTTCTGAAAGATGGTGATGCGTTTGTTTGCATCCAGCAGTTGATTCGGCAGGGGAGTTCCATGATTGGCATCAGACTCAGTGGAAACACAGGGTAGGGGTGCTTCGGACTTCTGAGTGACGGTTGGCATTGTAGTTTGTAGAGAGATGAGGTTGATAAAAAGATACTAGGGACGTGCCACATATTTAAACTAACTAAAGTCCGTCATTTACACCGCCACGGTGTACAAGACGCCAACATGTGGCCTCGCCTGTATGCACACATGAGTGCCTTTCGGTGATAATAAGATCTTTAATTTACCTTCGGTTCCTCAGGCCTCAGGCCTCAAGGCCAAACGCGGTAAATACGTAATTGTCTCGTGTCGGAGACACTCTGCGGTGTAGCCTAACGTACTTTGTGCTGCATTTCCTTGACCTCCATTGGCCGCCGGGTTAGGTTAGTAGAGTTAGTACATCCGACCCTGCATCGCAGCACTCTCTAATATCTAAAAAATACAACTCGAACAAAGCCTCGAGGTCTTGGTGTGGCATGGCATCTTTGCATCAACTCGACATCATCCGTCGGATGCCGGTAAACCAGAGCATCGATCCTGTTCACCACAAACTCCGTCTATCGTCTAACGCACACGTCACCTTCATAAACACACGTCCCGAGGGCTCCCGCATACAGCGCGCGGTCATCAAAGGCGAACAATCAAGACCATTCAATCTGTCAATTGAAATAAGGATGACCAAACTTCCATTAGGCTTACGGATACACCCTGCAACGTGCATTTTGTTTCCGCGCTAACGACTCCGCCAGAGCCGTGAGCTCTGTACAAGCGAAGACTGCCCTTATGGCATATCCCAACAAATCCTTTTCTCAGGGCTGTCCAACCACAGCATGATACCCACAACGCAGCGACACAACGCCAGCATGTCACAATTTCCATCCATCTAAGCCAGAATACCAATGATCGAAGGCTGTTAATGCATACGTCCAGTGAGCCAGAGCGGCCAGAACCACACAGAAATGAAATATTTGATGTGATGTGATGCGAAGAGTAAGTCGAATTTCCCTTGGGGCCAGACATTCCGGTATGTGATTGGTGCTGCGCGTGGATCAATTGTAATGTTAGGCATATGTGTGGAACCCGGGAAATCGCTGAGGCCCTACGCACTAAATCAATGCGCCCGTAATGTATAGTCCGCCTGATGCGAGCAGCCAACCAAATGCCATTTCAAAAAATAGCTTCGATGCCCCATGTGATACCAATAAATGAACAACTGGGACCACAGCGGACAATCCAAGACCAATGAAAACACCAGTACGTGCACCTCGATGTGTTGGTTTTGCATATTCAGGGTTGAGAACGATATATGCTGCTCCTTAAAACGCGTATTGGTAAATGACTTGCTAATGGACTGGTACCAATGGACAACACCGACCTGTGCCAACTAGTGCGATGGAACATAGATAACAGGCTTGCAAGGCTGGAATCCGTAGTAAAGGCATGGTACAAAAAATCCGAGGACTACGGAAGTATTCGTCAAAATGAGATAGAGGTTGCGATACATTCACTTACTGACGATCCCCGAATAGTCCAGTACATGGCACTGGGTCGACACCTGTATTTAATTTCGATTCATGAGTCAGATCCTGTAGTCGGAACTTGGAGAAGGACTGACCTGCGTGGAATGACAAGTGGCAGTGTGGAACATGGCGCTCGCAGTGAGGCAGAACACTGCAGAGAGTAAAAATATAGCAAAGACAGAAGTATCTAGCCAAGTGGTAGTACGATATACTGTCCGCGGAATGCCATCAGAATCCAGAGGAAGACCACAGCGCCAGCCAGATGACTGAGGATGTTCACCGAAAAATGAAATGAATTATGTCTACTTGAGACAACAAGAAACTTTACCAGTTCCGTTTTGGCTCCGTTATGAGGATCTGCTCAGAACAGAATCAGTCAATGACCACCACTTAAACATAAATTTTACGACCAACTCTTATACTCACCTTACAAAATGTCTAACACCTGCAATTAGTAAAATCACGGCACGTCAATCTGTAAACTCATAAATAGTATTATACGTTTAAGTCCCGTGGCCAATGACTAGGGTGATGAGGATGATTTAGCTTCCCTTTCATTCATATTGAAACTAGCGACTTACTTCTGTGCAATATCATTTTGGCTACAGATCCGTAAAGCCACAACTTGGCCACGGGCGTCTTCGATATGACACAATTATGGTATAACGTCCAAAAGTTATGACTCACCAGTAAGTGGCATCCTGCTGCGAATCGGTACTTTTGACTTCGTATGTCATTTGTTGGAGCAGTGGATATCATATGGCGGCAGTTAGATATACCTGGTCTATTCATTTGATAACATCAGGGAAAACCTCCCACGGGAATTTTGAAAATGCGACAACAATTCTCGAGAATTATGGCAAACTTTCATCAAATTTTTGTAAAAGCTTGTAAATAGTTGATAAATAGTCACATCCATAACGCAGTCAGTGAATGCACTGAAAAAGATATCTACAGGGCTCTAGTTGAACCTGCCATGAGATATGTAACTAATTACTAGTATATCAAAAATGTAGAGTTCACGCAATGCAGAACGGGGATATATTTAAACAGGTGGGAGGGAGAATTCGGAGGTGTCTGCTGCTGGCTACATAGAGCTCGCTCGAAGGGCCTTAGCCTCAGCGACAACAAGTAAATTGAGAAATTGAAAATCGAACCACCAACGATTTAATTACTAATCACAGGGCTCCCACGGTTGATTTCAATGAACTCATTCAAATATTCATGTTTCACTCTGCAACTTACACGAGCCGCGGCAACCACTTGCACACCCTGTCACGTCGTTTTCTTTATGTTTTCATTCTCCCTTATGGTTACTGTTGGGGACTCTAGGTGAGAGGCATCACCACCACAGAGCTAAGTCTCGCTCCGAGCGGGCGTCTGAATTCTGTTGTCGCATTCATCTGTGCGTGGTCATTCAAACCAGGTGTCTATGTAGGATTCCTTTTTTTCTCTTCTTTTTGGCGGTCCAACCGGCCTTCCTGATCTCTCCCAGCTACAGGCTCAATTTGGAGCATACACATAGCTCAAAACTGCATTCTGAGGGTGAGTCATGTAGTTGAATCCTGGTTTCACAGCGACCCGCTCATGCTCACTGTCAGAATCGCAAATTCCCTACTCGAGCCGCAGCTCAGGCCAGAGCCGGGCCACTGCATTCTGAGGCGCGCAGGTGAGTCATGTGGTTGATTCCTGGTTCCTCCCTACCCGCCTCCCCGTGGTCCACGGCTCTAGTGTGACGACTGAGCAGGATGAACATCCCATGGTCTTGGGCCTCACTGCTAGCCCTATGTTTGGTGGCAATCCTACTGCAGCCTTCCGGTATGGTGCTCGGATTGGAGACTACGAATATTATTGACATGCTTCCAGGAAGTTGGAAGCCAACCTCGACTGCGTTATTCATAGTCCTCGAGCCAATCGGGATGAGCTCTTGACTCATGTCCACTGTCCGATCTTCCGACACGTGTGCTACGATACACCGCAATACTCTGATCATAACTATACTTCTAAAAATTTATCAGCAGTCGATGCCATTATTGCTACTATGAACATCGGATCCCGAATTCCATGGTCTCAGCTGTGGTTACTGTGGTGCATCTTTTTCTAACTGTTCAAGCACTATCTCACTGTGTTCTACCAGATTTTTTCTTCCCTACTTGATCTGAAGTTGGTTGACTTTGCATCCGCTGAGTTGAAAGCAGCATTTGCGCAAATCGATTTCGATGGGATGAGTAGGGCATTCCTGATAGCACAGGGACTTTGCGTTACACGTTTTGTCTCATTTCCTCATTTTCATATCTTGTGATTTGCGATATTCTAGTATTTAATCACATTATAATCATTTTGTTGTATTCGTGTGGATTTTCATAAATTTTCACCCATCCGTAGAGGGACTTGGAATATTTTAATGTATTTTCAGAAAGTCAGAAAATTTCAGAAAATTTTACAAAATCTTCGCGGGAGGTTTTCCCTGATGAATAGATACTACATTATAATCCTAAATGTGATGGCCCGTTTGTTGCAATCTGTCACATGAGTCAAGCTGTAGTAACCATAGATCAGTAGCCAAACTTATGCCCTCTCGATATATGTTTCAAACTATTTTTACTGTGGAGCATCTCTTGCACTTACTTCGTTCTGATGCATGATTTCAATCTCAGGCAGTAATCGCATATATTTCATAAACAGTGACGAAAAGTAAAGGTTTCCCAGACACCTCCAGGGTATATGTATTGGCTGTCATTCAATGTCTCAATTGTGTAGCCTTGCCATGTTACACAATTAGGTCTACATGGGGGATACGCGATGCTGTGGCAGCAATGTGCTGTGTGTGACAATTCCAGCTTCGTTTGTCACTCTAGATCCATGCCATTCATTTGCGTTTCTGTTCAATTTTGAATAGCTGCGCATCCATTATATTGATCCCACAATGTACATTATTGTGTACATAGATAATACAAATAGGTAGTACATGCATTAGTAAAACGTATCACTGGCAGCGTCTGGCAGAAGTGTTAGCAACAGAGTATTGCGCTACATTCTGAGGCAAGTAAGTAGACACATTGCGAGCCCCAAATACCTTTCTACAAAGTGTAAGTAATGTACGAACAACAGAAAGCTTACAACACACTCACCTGTTCCACCAAACAAGAAGAGTGTCGATGGAGGCTTTGGCGGCAGGTGTGGGTGGATGCTCGAAGTAGTCGATGGTGTAGGTGTAAAATTGACGATGATCAAACTCATCATCAACGATACGCCAGGCACCACAGCTTGATAAGGCAAATCGTAACTGGGATTCCAGGTCCCTTCAGTTATCGTCGTGTCTAAGAAAATTATTAAACATACTTGGACTGCTGAATAGGCGATAGCTCGCGGTTGAACTGAGCGCATTCCTAATATTGTCGCAATGTTGGACCGAGTGCGCCGTTCACCTGAGGTCCTAGACCGCTTGTGCGATGATTCCTGGTAGCCCAGGGGTTCTTCTTCGTCAGGTCATATCTCCCCAGCAGAGCTGGGGGATGTAAAAATATGTTTGAAAGTCTGTGCCAATAGGTGAGTACAATCCCTTGAAAGGAGATACTAATACCCACCCTGACGAGCCAAGCACTTTTGAACAGCCCTTTCGTCGGGTCGTCAGGGTTGTATTTGCCGTTACTATACAAGAATGCTGGCCATGAATGGGCAGTGACTTGGAAGTCAGGTTCGTAGTTTCGGATCCCTTCCTTCGTTCTATGGCTATAATCAGTATGAGGTGTAGTAAGCTGGTTAGTGAGGTCATACCTTGGATTGGCCCAATGGAAATCCACAGGACATAGAAGTTCCCCGGTCGCATCATGATAAAATCCACGTCCGGACTTGTCGACTGAGGAGATTGGTGGGTTGGGGGTAGGACGGCTCTCATTGAGCCACGAAGCCACTGTTTTCTTCAAAGAACTAGCATCATCGCCCTGTGCTGAATTGGCACCTTTATTGAGCTGAATTCAATTGGGTTTAAACATTGATGTGACTACTTGCATGACGGACAACTTACCTTTTGATAAGCAACGTTGAGCTGATATCCGTCACTTTGAGAGTTGATAAGGCTGCGGACACATGGAACCCAGCGAAGTAGCTGTTGAAATGACTGATAGGTTTGTTCCTCCCTAGAATATTGAAAACAGGATCAAATCAACCGACTGAAGTACTCAAGCATAATACCCACTCTTCCGTGTGTTGGTCATCTTCATCACATAGAGCGCTCCTTCGATGGTGCTCTCCGATAAGGTCCTCAACCCTGTCAGTTAAGCTCACGAGGCGCCGGATGGCTCGGCCAGCAGGGACATATATATCACCATGGCTATTGGACACCAGCTGCGTCAGATACATATAGAAATCCATGTTAGTACAATACCTTTTGTTGCGATGGCTTTCTCCCTGCAGCTCAGCATTTTGCTCTTCTAGAGCAGCAATGCGCCGTTTGAGAGCGTTATGGGTTGCATTAGGTGAATTGTTGTCAGAAGGACTCGGAGACTGCGACATGGGTAATAGGAACTTGAAGGAAAAAATGAGGGTGATTGACGTACCCAAGATGATAAGCTTTTCAAGCACCGATATTTGAAATTGACGTGGAGCAAGATTTACGGATGTATAACAAGATTTATGCTTGTCAGAGCCGTTGTAACGGGAAGGACTGCAATGGAACCATGGCCAGATTACGATGCGCGGGGACTAAAGTCGAATAATTAATAAAATGCTCCACTCTGTTTGAATGGAGCAGACCATGATGTCGTTATACGGACCCTTGTGGTGTTTCCGAAAAGAACGGAAATGTGGTGTCAGAGCAAAGGGGTATTGAGCGCAAGCGAAACTCTGAGTCGGATCTCATTGCGGAACTTGTAGCATCATTGTAATGTCATGGTGGGTCCATGCAAAGGCTCATCACTGGCATCAAAGGTGGTCGTGGGGGCGCTGTGACAGCAGTGTGATGTGTCTGTTTTGCTGAGAGTATCGCTGCAAAGAGGGATCTTTGACAATTGTGGGCTATCAGTGATCTGTTGTAGCCCCGTAGGAGGTGTTCTGTATCCTGGACTTGAGTTACCCGTGCTGCTGCTGTGACTGGAAGTGGGCCTCTGGAAGACCTGTCCACCAAATGAAACGATAAGAATCTTCGTCTCATCTGGATTGTGTAGATGTTCAGGGACACCAAGCGACAAAAGAAATCGGGATTGACCAATAGGTGAGTAAACTGTGTCTGGTCTTTTGCTAATACCACGAACGAGAAGAGGAGCTTGGATGATGCTGCGTGCAAGCGGTTTCTTAGGGTGCGAGTCGGCGAAAGGTATCGAAGGATGGAGTAGGTGTGTGTCGGGTTTCTTCCTGTGGGTTTGCTCATGATGATGCTGTCGACGCTGAGTACTGATACAGCGGCTTCTGTTGCGAGCTTGATGGCCCACTGTTTTGCGGCTAGTGGGTCGAGAATCTTGAAGTCGGTAGCTAGCAAAGTGCCATCTCGTTCGGCCTAGCATATGATCGATCAATCAAAGGATGATGAACCAGAACTAGTGAACTTCACCTCTATATCGACACCCCAGACTTTGCCGCCCTCCTGCTCGTGCTTGGCCCACAACCGACTGAGAACCCCCCCACCCCCAAAACAGTTGGAGAGGGATAAGCATTCCAACCTGGGACACCTTCAATTACGGGTGGGGGGTGAAAAGACGGTAAGTTAATGCTCTGATCGCATTACGCGGAATTGAGGTCATTGGAGTGGAGGACTGTGATGGGAGGAGAAATATCTTTGCCATGAACGCGCATGCCTGTGGAAGGGATATGATCTCGTGATGGTATGGATGAGGCAGAGGTGTCTGGTGTTATAGTAGATGAGAAAGCACCGGACCACGAACTTAGCGAGTCGATTACGGTGGCAGCCGAATCGCATCGCGAGACATGTCCAAAGGTAGAACGGAACTGAGCAGGTCTAGGAGGGGTATAAGAAGCCACCAAATCAGGGTTGGCATAGGGATGTACAAAGTCCTCGTGAGACAGGTGACATTGGGAAGTATGAAACGACGAGACAGTATCACTACGTTCGTGACCTCGTGTAACCTCTGAAACTGGAGAGTATGGTGCGGGTGTATCTTGTGTGGAGGACGACGGCCGAGAAATGTGTCCCTTACTAACTGGAGGAAGACGAACCCCGAGTTATGGCAAACTGTACTATAACCTCGACTAGGCTCTTTGAGTGTGCAAAAGAACGGGGCGCATTCAAATCATGCATTCACATTTATTCGCAAATGGGTCTTTGAGAAAATAGCGTGAACCTGGCATTGGAGAAGGGTGACTTGGAGCTCACAAAGGAACATGCCAACAAACCGGAGGACGACGCACCGTTGCAGAAGAAGCTTTGGCTCAAGATTGCGCGATACGTGGTGCAGGATAAACAGGACAGTTGTGCCAGCCGTCCCGGGCCACGTGAACCATTCCGGCAAATGCCGGAGATGTCATAAATAGCCAAAACGGGACATGTACGAATCTAAGTTACGATACAAACGACATTAACTCTGCATTAACTCACTCTAAACATCTACCGCTCCAGTAAAACATGAACAACAACGCTGATGCCAATGGAGGCAGAGGAGTCGGAAATCAGAACGCAGAGGGAAATCAGGAGCATCAGGTACGTCAAGAATTTTTTAATAAATCAGTACTCACTGGTATTCTACAGATCCCTCAACATCTTCTTTAACTCATACCGAGGCCTCGCAACGTGATGTTCACGATGACCGAAAGGCAGATAGTAAGTAACGAATCATTCAGGGGTTACAGTCTTTAACATTTCAAAGCAATTCATGTACGTTACATGGGCCGTCGCACGAGTCCGCATGCGTCAAGAACTCTACCAACCTGAGTTACCGGTTCAACCCTACCCTCAGCCCCCGGTCTGGACAGAAGAAACGCGTGCGATGATAGTGCTTTGGATTGCGAGGGAGCGCCAAATTTTTCAGATGGAGGTGGAGGAGATGGAGCGTCTCCTGGGACTTCGGGGTGCGCATTAGTGCTTCTAGGTAAGCTGCTTTTAAAATTCTGAAATTTTGAACGGACTTACGGATATTAGACCATACACAAGTTCTAAGAGGCTGGAGGGAGGTTTAGCGACTGCACACATTGGACACTTGCGCGATATACGTACCATGTAACACCACCATACAATGTAACACCACCATACAAATCCTACAAAGTCGATCCAACCTGTATATGTTTTTGCCGTTAGTATTGTCCACTTTCCCGCATAGAGAACTGAACATATTCGATTCAGATGCTAGGACCAAACACTTCGCCAGCACCGTCCGTCAACTGACATATCTACCAGGAGCATCGAGTGCCAGATACGCAATGTGCTTTAGCGATAAAAAAAGTGTACCAGACCCGACGAACGAACCTCCAGGTCACCGGTCCACACATCAAGAGCTTCACCAGGATCAACGTGCCCTACTTTGACAACCATTGAAGAGTCAGCTCCAGGTGAAGACTCCCCCACAACGAAGTGAATCTGAGTTGTCTCTGGCCAAGCCTTGTCTCCCTGGTTTAACATCCGTCAGGACTTAATGAACTCAGCACCAGGTAGAAAAATCTGACCGCTAGGAACTGTCGTGTCGGACACAAAAGCACCCTCTTCCCTCGATAATGTCATGACTGTGCAATTATGTCCTGGTCGCATGGAGTCTTGGTCACGCCGGACATCGTAGGTAGTGTAGTTGACTTGAAAATGACGTGATTGCTGGACTCGAGACAGGTTATTGATGAAATGCAGCTCATTCCTCTTGGAATCAGAGAACAGATGCTCATCGCCATCATATTCGAGACCTGATCAATTGTCTGGACCAAGTTACTATAAGGTGAGATCGATTGTTCGCAATCAACCAACTTGATAGCCTTCGAAGTTGGTTGCGGATGGATGGATAGAGCAGCAGGTGCCGATTCTGGCGTCTTCCTATCTTTGTTAGCAGTTGGTGGGACAAAGTTGTCGGGCTTCGTAGGTGGGGACATCATTGATTGAGGTGGCGGAGGAGGCATTCCATATTGTGATTGCATTTGTTGGGGGGCACTGCCTTGACCATGCTGACCCTGCGACTGTTGTAATAATGCGAGGATATTTGGAGGTAAACTAGGAATTCCAGTGTGCACCTGCCCTGGCTGAGGAGTGGGTGTCTGAGAAGGCATCTGAGCATATGGGTTAGCACTGGGGCCAGGCGGAGGAGTGGAAATAAAATGAGGCATGAGGAGATTGTGAGGACCGTGAGTCGTGTGTTGAAGATAACAGCCGGAGGTAAAAAGCAGAGCACGAACTAAATCAAAGAGCAGGTATAACTGTAGTGTCAGTACTGTAGCACAACAGATACTCGGAGAAAGGTTGATGTCTGCTCACTGCAAATCATAAGATAGATGCCGTAAAGGCTATCACTTTGCCCCAAGGGCATGCTTCAAAAGCTCCCGTGACAACTGTTATCACACTGAGTACATTCCATTTCAAGAATGAGCAGGCTTACCTTGATGAAGATTCTGAACGGTCTGTCTCAAAAAATGCGCACTGACTTGAAACGCGGCAGTTATGAAGAGTTGAAATCAGGGAATTGAACCAAGAAAGGCTAAATCTGTTAGTCATGACTCAACACTTGAGCTTACTAAGCCCAACTTGTCTCAAGATGTAGGTGCACGAATGATATCAAGGGTTAATTGGATCACTGGGACACTGCTTCAAATACACGTGCTAGGAGAGCAGTTTGCTCTTGGAGTATCATAACGATTTCTTTTCCTAACCCAGTGAGTCTCTCTTTGTCCCCGTTATCGGTGGTATGCCACTTCTTTGCAGGTGGAAGTTCTACTTGTGAGTTTGTGATATCGCGAGCAAAGTCCCGGCGACTCTGAGCCTTTTCATGCTGAGGTTGATTAGTACTTGTTGAGAGCCGAAGAACCCGAGGACGGAAAGGCCGATAGAGGAGGATATGGGACTACGGCCGAAGAGTAAGGCAGCTCGAGGTGCGAGCGCCACCAAACGGAGATTCCAGACGACGTGTCAACGTCGGCTATCTTTTTTTTATTCCTTTAGTATATGTTTTCATCAAAAGGCCAGCTGGCGCACTCACCATATAAAAGCAGCCATCCACCATCGAAACATCTCAGATTCGTAATCCGAATACTGAGATGTAAGTCTTCTAATGTAACGTTTGAGTACAAGTACTAACGTATACCGTAGCTTACCTGTCTAGGTAAAAACACTTGTCAATAAAGAGATTCGTAATCCGAATACTGAGATCTTACCTGTCTAGCCTCGCGTGAACGCCCTGCTATACTCTCAATAGTACTATGTGATAATTTGAGACAAGACCTCAGATGAGACTCACTTGCAGCCTGTTAGATTTGCAGCCGAAGCTCGAGTCACTTGACAAGGCATGTTTCAAAATTGTCTGTGGAATATTGACAGGAAAATTTTCATGCTGGTAACAAGAACACTCATGAGCTATTTCGTCACATGGTATTAGGAAATATTACCTCCTGCTCAGCATCTTCTCTCGTGTTGTGTGTTGGTGATTGTGACCTTTGGGAATCCAATGTCTCCTGAGCATTGAGACCTGGTTTCGCTCTTGATTGAGAGCAGGCTTGACTGTATATGTAGTTTCCTTGCAAATCAGCTGATGCTCCTTGACCATTTGCGGGGAAATGCCATCTTTCAGAATCTGGTGAGTCTCTGACTCCGAGGATTTGTGAAGCACCGTCATTGCGACTAGAGCCTCGAGAGCTATGTTCAGAGCTTTTATCAGGATCATAAGGCATTGTGAAAGATATCTGACAATTGAACGCTACCTCATCCTCCAAGTCAGGCTAGTAGTACCTCTTACCACCCTAATGATATCATTCGTGGAGCATCAATTACATTTCCAAGCACATGATTCACAGTGACCTGACTAGCGTAAGTTTTGCATATGCTGTATGGGGAAGAGATGAACAGGTGGTACTCAGGTGGAGCGCGAACGCGAGGTGGACGCGAATCGGTTCTGCGTGATCAGATGTTCTGTCCTTACATGTTAGATTTTCCGAATGTGGTAAGCTGTACGTCAACCGTACTCGGATTCGATGAAGTGACACCAAGGCCAATGGGCCCCAGATTGGCCTGAGGATTGTGTCAGACAGCGGCACCTTTCTAACTTGAAATTCCAAACCTGTAACTCGGTCTTGAACACTGCACTGATAATATGCTCCATTTGCCACACGATATCGAAAGGACAGTCTTTCAACTTGCAGCAGGTGTCCATCCTGCAAATGATGTGCACTCGTATTTATTGGTCGCCCCCAGAGTTCATGACTGGTAGGCAAAAGTCCTGAGATATGCTGGATTCAGTTGTGACTTACAAGATGGTAATAGGATTGAAGGATTGATGTATCGAACCGTTGTCCTTGCCAGTGAGGCACGAGCATGCCTTTTTGTTGATTCACTTCGTTCTCGACCAGTGTTTGCTTCTGTGAATGTCAAATCTCTCTGTATTCGCGGTATGGTGCAACTCGCCACAGCGGTAGAGGTCATACAACTGTGCAGTGGTATTGTCAACCTCGCCCTCTGGATTCTGTCAGAGGGGGATCATGACATGCTGGATCACCTATTGGATGCATTAAACAAGCTACCTTTATCACGGCTGTCTATCCACTTATCGACCGTCTTCCGTAGAACTGACATGCCATTCCTACCATCCATCTCTCTATTCAGCAAAGTCACCCACCTTGACTTGTTGGAAGGTTGGGTGCTTTGGGGCTCCCCAATCGGCATACATTGCCTAATGCAACTTACACATATTTCCCTTCGACTGTTCACTGATCGGACAGCACCAGCCTTGCTGCAAATGATCCTTGCAGATTGCATTCACCTGAAGGTATTGGTTTTGCGTGTAACAGAGGAAGTTGGCAGGGTAAAAAAATGGTTGCAGGAGCACGACGGTCTCGATGATCATCATATTGTTGTGACGGCCAAGAGCTCTCGTGATACCTGGAATTGCAAAACAAGTGATGGTATGAGTCTGTGGCAGTATGGAGATTATATTGCAAAGTGTTGAGACGCGATACATGAATGTACATACAATTTAGGCCGAGAATATCTGCAATGATGGTATATGATCATATGGCATCATATGGTTGTCGTTGCACATTTGTATTTGTTTGTCTGCAAGTTTATGGGTAACGATGCACCAAGTCCTGACTCCATTTCCGCCAAATCTAATATTGACACTACTTCAATCATTTGCCGTGTTACCCATGTTATATTACGTCGCTCGCTTACCAGTATACCATACTTTCTCCAATAAGATATGGTAAGCATCAGTCCTCCACAGTCTGCGTTCAGTCTTGATCTGTGGTGCAGATCTATCGCCACCATGAAGTTGAACCTCACCACCATAACCATGACATGGAGCACAAGAAAGCAGGATCTCTCCTCGGGCGTGTTCACTGCACCATTATGGCCCTCGGCCTATGGGACTCGGGTCGCGCTGTCGTGTTCGTTCTTGGTGAGTACTTGTATTGTATCGCTAAATTATCTCTGATATGCTTGGAAAGGTTGTGGAATTGGTGTTTTGCTTCGCATGTTCTGGGTAATGTCTGTCCTCGTGTATTGCACTGTCAGAGGTGAGCGATCGGAGAAGATCAGCCATGGGTACATCATGTTCGAACATGATGCAGAGACCCACTTCGTGCCTCCTCCTGAATACACTGACGAGAATTCATTCCTTCCCCTTAAGCACTTCATCTACAAACTTCCTGTTCATTCGCTAAACAAGCTCGAGTCCCTTGCTCTGGTGTCCCATGACCTTACAATTTCGCCTGCTGTTGGCATCAGTGGCTGGGGCACATCATTTACCGCAGTCGTCCCCTTCATACGCCCAACCAATTTCTTGTTCCTCTTCGAATCTGGAAGCACCTCTCTCACACTCCAGTTCAGAGCCCATCTTCCTTAGCTTTTGCAGGTGATCGTCCAGCCATCCTGGATCTGTGCTTGAAGATATGTTTCTGGACCAGATGCTCTCGCACATCTTAGATCTCTGATTCCAACTCGCAACACTACTGCAATTGATCACCACGAATGTGCCATACCATAATTTCATACATTTCATTTGGGAATGCACTAATCTACCCATTCTGTACTAGTATCTGCCACCTGCAGCACTGTCAGTTTAATATACAGTGTCTTATGCTCTGATCTGTGTGATCGTGGAGTGGTTAGTGTTTGTCGAAGTTCCTGCATGAACTTTTTTTACCTTCTGAGTCTTTCTATGTGGGCTCTGGCTGCAGCACATTTATTGTGTCGATGACATGAACATAGAAATTCATGATCATCAGAGGGCACAGGTTGTAAAATATATGAAGGCTTTCTGGAGAGACGATGCACATATCATCTAGAGTCTTCACTCCCATCAGTTTCAAAGGGGTGAGGAATAACTCTGGCCATTGCCGCGCCGGCTCATCATTACTGAGCTGCTCCATAAAGGCTTCCAAAGTGGGATATGGAATTGATGGGTCGGTTTCAATCTCCACATCGATGAGTATGCTTGAAGTGATAGTAGTTACTGACATGGGGTCGTGATAATAGAGGAACAATGACTTGGACTCAGACTTTAATGCGCGGCTGTACTCACTATGGCATCTTTATAACAGAGCTTAGGGTACTACAAGCTCCAAGGATGCTACAAGCTCCGATCCTAGGGCGCAACATGATGCGACTTGGCAGTGACTCGGACTCAATGCGGCAACTCAGTGAACTCCGATCAACTTACACATGGTTCACGCTAAGCTTAATGTAAACTAAGAAGCCGCAATATATGGTCATGTATTAGCCTCACCAGTTTGATCTGAGTCATCACTAGGTTCTGGGGTATTCAAGTGATCCAAACTCCACGGGTCTTATTGGCACTGCGTTCGTTGTGTCATGATTGGAGTCAAATTTTTTGTTTGTTGACTAATGGAGATCAATTAGATAATCGCACGCACCTTTACCTGCCAGCAATTGAACAGGCCTTCAGCCCAATCGCAATTGTCATGTCCACGACCAGCACAATCACTATCAGGAGTCATTCCTCACAATCCCATAGCCCTAAAAACAACAGCCAGGGCAGGCCTACTTGCAAAGTGAAAGTTATCAAACGATACAAGCAGCCTCCAACCAGGTCAGCAACGAGCCGGGGGAGAAAGCCGGCGACCAAGGACACTTCTACATTTCAAGCCACCCTCCGTGAAGTCAATCCAAATTTGACCAAGGCTCCCGTTACTGCACGACACAAGGTGCTTAAATTTGTCTCACAATCGAATGGTGAGGCAGATTGCGAGGTATGTCTGTGCACTTCAACATTCATTTACTTAATCATTATGTTGCCAGGTATTTCAAAATATCACTCAAGCAAACTACAATTATATATCTTGCAAAATCAAAGACTACCCTGCAAGACCAAGGTAAACATATTCCAATAATTTCTTTTGAGTCATAACATACAATTCTTCTAGGTTGGAATACAACTGCAATACCCATACCCTTGTCATTGAAATGCCATCCCCCGTACACGAGGCTATAATCAAGGTTATCGGCAAAGGATTGGAACATCTAGACGATTATTTGCAGGATCTCATGGTCGAGAATTTACTGTCCTCAGACACCCATACTAACTTGACCATTGACGGGAACTCGGTGAAATGTGTCCCTGATGTTCTCCACGTGGTTACTGCCCTCACCGACCCCCCCATCCTAAGCACTCCTGTCATGGGCGAGGTGGCTGTATTGCAGTCCAGAGCTGATCTACTGCAGAGGCTCAGGGACAGGGTCGAGGCATTCCCAGATATCATCCTGCTCTTCATGGCCGAGATCAATGAACACGTCACCTACAGCCAACCCAAGCATATGAGCAATGCGTGGCGAAAGCTACAAAAGGATGAGAATGCTCGCTCCCGCACCACCTTCCTTTCCAACCGCACTGGATCAAGATCACTCGATGTACCCACTGAAATTGAAGTTGAAGGGCACGTCTGGCATGCGATGTCAAGCGTGCATTTCCAGGTCTGGGTGCAAGACGTCAACGGGCGAATTGACATAGACACGCAGAACCCAAATCTCACAGCACATGGTGTAAGTCCCACCGGCACTAAGCGATTTGTGACTGACCATACTTACAACAGGAATTATTTCCGAACAAATCAATGGACAATGTCACACTGATGATGGAGAGGGGACTGTCCTGGATGAGGGAACAGTATGCACAGCTGTCCCAACAGGTCAGCCCAAATGTTGACGTTTCGGCCTTGCTGGCCGCGCCTGTCACTCTCCCCTTTGGATGGGATGGGATGCTTTCTAAGCTTGCCCTCGCAAGTCTGACAATGGCTCATGATCGTTATAAGAATTGGCATAATGCGATGGCATGCAGTAGGACAGCCAAGCGCACGGCAGAGGAAGCGTTTGATGCAGGGCCAGCCAACAACACATGTTCATGCACGCATGCTCGCACTGCTGCACTTGTCCGGGGCCAGAGCTTACCATAATATAGTACCCACAGGTAGATGCCTGCTGCTAAACCCACCTTGATACTCATTGTCACTCAGTCCTACCATTAGCGTTCATCATCATCTTGTACTCTAGCACACCATTTTCAGATACCCAATGTACCATCACATTGCACTCGTGTACGATGCTTTCTTGAATTGATACAATAGTTGTATTAGCCCTTTTGCCTTTGGCATTGACACGAGACACAACTCTGAGTTCATTCTTTGCGAGTTTTACATGACATACATAGATATATAGTATTTGAGGTCGATATCACATTGCAGTGACGCGCTACGGAAGTGGAGCTATTACATAGAGTGGCAGTGCTGCTAGTACTACACCTACAGTTCTTCCACTTCACTGCTGACCTGATGGTCAACTGCTGGGAAATGATCGACCTGAAATGAACATTACTAGATCTACTCTCTGCATACTTCTGTGTCTGACTTTGTGTCTTCTGACGATGGACCATCACCGCTGGGAATGTGGGCCGCCCTGTCCAGGCAAGTTCTCTGACTACACGGGGCTCGGTCGACATCGTAGGACTTGCAACCATTACAAGCACCATGTGGATCTACAAGCCCAGAATTTCAAACATCGAGCTCGTGAAGACCCCCGGCACGTTAAGGTGTTTAAGAAAATGAAACCCTCCATAGCGGATGAAGACCAGGTATGTGATACTTATTTTATCGTCCATGGGTGACAGGCTAATTAGTATCCAAGACCTTAGTGGCTTCATCCTCAGGCATCGATTTAGAGCAGTCAACAATCAACCATACTCCCCAGATACTGGATCAATCCAACAGCATCGCTCCCTCCCCATCCACCAACAATTCAATTGGCCACAATCCAACTAGTTCTCCTCCCCCAGACACTTCCACCACTCTGGACTGTGATCATAATTCACGCCCAAGGCGCATGCAGAGACTCCCACTGCGATATAGGGATGAACTTCCAGAAGCACCACTACCTTTCGCTCAGGATCAGCCAACCTCGCGTCCTACCCGCGTAATTCTCCACGTTTTCGACTCTATCTGCACATTATTCAATAAGTTTGGCATTGCCCACCAATATCGTCATCGCCCTTCATATGATCCAGATGCATTTGTATCGGCAGATGAACTCTCCAACATATGTCCTACTGAATCCCATACTAGTGACCGCAGCATACAGGATGGTGAGGTGCCCTCGGGTGACCCTTCACGTCCAACGGCACCACCTTGGCCTTGGAAAAACATGTCAGTCTGGAGGCTGATGTCGTGGCTGGTGACAGGAAGCGATCGGAAGTCGATGACAGAGGCCAAACGTCTGGTCGATGACGTGATAAAAGCGGAGGATTTCAATGTCAATGATTTCGAGCACTTCAACCCCAACACTCAGATGAAGAATTTTGATACATCTATAGATCACGCCGACACCTTGGACATTCTGCAACGAGATGGTTGGAAGCAGACAGACGTGGAGATTATGGTGCCATCAAAGGAGAAAAATCCTAGAGGGAATGGGTGTGTATTCTCAGTTTCTGGGCTCTTCTACCGGCCACTCACTGCAGTTATACAAGCTGCATTCTCGGAGCAGTCTTCGAAATGGTTCCATCTGACGCCTTTCAGGCGTATTTGGAAATCACCAGTCACAGGGCAAGAGCAACGACTTTACGATGAGCTTTACACCTCGGACACATGGCTTCAGGCTCACGACGAGTTACAGAAACAAAGAAGGGATGATGGTTGCAAACTGGAGAGAGTTATTGCGGGCCTTATGTTCTGGTCCGATGCCACCCACCTAACTCAGTTTGGGCATGCATCAGCATGGCCGATATATCTCTTTTTTGGGAATCTATCAAAATATGCTCGTTTGGATCCTAACTCTGGCGCTTGCCACCCAATAGCTTTTATTCCCACTGTAAGCTTTCTAGATGTCTGTCTACCAGTGACGTGTTATTGATTTGTATCTCATGTAGCTACCAGAGTCAATTACAAGCTTCATATCCACCTTTTCACTGAGGAAGAACTATGACGATATACTTACACATTGCAAGCGGGAGCTGTTCCATGCAGTGTGGTGTATCCTCCTGGATGATGAGTTTGTCCATGCTTATGAGAACGGCATTGTGGTTAAGTGCTATGATGGGGTGTATCGGCGTGTTTTCCCTAGGATATTCACGTATTCAGCAGACTATCCAGAGAAGTACATCT